CGGAGGAGAGAGAGGGAGAGAGAAGGGAGGGGAGAGAGGGGGAAGGGAGGTAGAAAAACACAGACCAAAAGCAAAAATTCCCCCACTGTTGTGACTAGTAGGGGTAGGTAGGGGTGTTTCTCCTGTGATAGAGTTTGGCACGCCGGGAGGAGGGGCTATTTAAACCCCCGTCGTGCAAAATCTACCGGGGAGCCTAGCTGAGTCAGGCGGGCCTGGGCTTCTGCAGCCCCGAAGAGAACCCACCCCAACCGCGATAGACTGGACACCCGGCTATACACATACAGTACCTTGAAGCCAGTCGGGCACCAGTCCACGAACTGAATGGTCCGTTTGGTCTTGATGTTTGCAATGGCGGCGTTCACGTTCTTCGGCACGACGTCACCTCGGTACAACAGACAACACGCCATGTACTTCCCTACAAACAACAGGCAAACTCGATCAATACAACATTTGTAAAGCACAGATTGTCACAAGACGTCCTTCCTTTAGGGTACGGATTCGCATGCTTGCGAGTTAAGATCTCAGTCACGTTTGGGATTGTGTTCTCGCTGCAAAAGCGCCACCTACATTGGCTACAGAAGCAGAACTCCAGTCAGAAGCTCTGAGGAAGGTGTCTGATAGACACCGAAATTTCTGTTCTTTTCAACATTTGAGTGTCCTAGGTGTCTATTCTCTGATATCTCCCCCCCCCCATTTTTTTCCTTGACGCTCCTTCTTTCCTCCTTCAACAATAACTCAGTGTTATGGCAAAACTTACAATACCAGCTTTGTATTCCTGTGATTAATCAGCATTTTTTGACTGGATCTTTTATTTGCCCTAGCGCAATAGTTTGGGGGTCTTTAGAGGATACCATCCATAAATTAAATTAATGTCTGCTATATAGCTGTCCTGGTACTCACCGTGCCGAGGGTCGCACTTGACCATCTGGTTGCCCGGTTCGAAGCAGGAGGCTGTGATCTCACCGACCTGCAGCTGCTCGTGGTACGCGCGCTCTGCCGAGATGATGGGCGCGTACGTGGCCAGCGGGAAGTGGATGCGCGGGTACGGCACCAGGTTCGTCTGGAACTCCGTCAGATCCACGTTCAGTGCGCCGTCAAACCGCAAGGAGGCGGTGATGGACGACACCACCTGCCCGATGATGCGGTTGAGGTTGGTGTAGGTCGGGCGCTCCACGTCCAGGTTTCTCCGGCAGATGTCGTACAGCGCTTCGTTGTCCACCATGAAGGAGCAGTCGGAGTGCTCCAGGGTGGTGTGGGTGGACAGGATGGAGTTATACGGCTCAACCACTGCTGTAGACACCTATAATAGCGGGTACAAAGTCAGATGCACACCGTTCACTTAAAATGTCATCCTTTTCCCTCATTTCGAGCCCTCAACACAAGTTACAATTAACAATAGACAGTGTAGAGGGGAACTGACAACGTGGCGAATATATTTCAGGCATTTAAGCAAGAAGCTGTAATATTAGCTGATCCATCCACCCATCCATCCATCCACCCGTCCGTCCATCAATCCATCCGTCCGTCCATCCATCCATCCATCCATCCATCCATTCATCCATCCAGCATCCATCCATCCATCCACCCGACCATCCATCCGTCCGTCCATCCATCCATCCGTCCGTCCATCCATCCATCCATCCGTCCGTCCATCCATCCATCCGTCCATCCATCCATCCATCCATCCATCCATCCATCCATCCATCATCCATCCATCCATCCATGCATCCATCCACTCATGCATCCATCCATCCATCCATCCACCCATCCGTCCGTCCATCCATCCATCCATCCGTCCGTCTGTCTATCCATCCATCCATCCATCCATCCACCACTCATCTTCCATCCATCGATCCATTCATCCATCCACCGATCCATCCATCCATCCATCCATCCACGCACCCATCTAATAATTGTCACATCACATCCATTTTTTTTAATAAGATGACGTGAGTATATCTGACCTGTGGCGCAGGATAGATGGAAAACTGTAGTTTCGACTTCTTTCCGTACTCCACGGAGAGTCTCTCCATGAGGAGCGCGGTGAACCCTGACCCGGTGCCGCCGCCGAAGCTGTGGTGGATGAGGAAACCCTGCAGACCGGTACAGTTCTCCGTCTGGTGACATGCACACAAGGAGGGCGTATTTAGAATAAAAACTAAACTGATTTTTGACAGAATCTCTCGGTCTAGATCATTTATCCGACCCAAGTGGTGTGAACACGTGATTTCCCCACGTGTGACGTCATCACTGGGTCAGAGGTCGTTGGAAGTCGGTACCACCCCCCACCCCCGTCCCAGGAGGGCATATTCCTGTCATTCATGAAAATATGATCACACCTAATGTCAACTACAAAATACTGTTTTGAATTAACCGTAGGACTCTGCTTCAATACTTGTCATACCAGCTTTGGAATAAGAAATCGGGAGATGAGAAAGAAATGTTATTTTGAAAAAGACCTTGGAATTCAATGAACAAAAGTATGCTAAATTAGAACATTTTCCCGTAAATTGATGAGATAGAATTAGGCAATGAATTTACAAAAGCTCTATAAAGATATTTCACGGAGGTATGAGATATTCGAACTCTTCTTTAACAATGTGTACTCAGTCTAATCCCAATACTACGTGCATTACATAGACTCCCCCGAGGCGTCACCAAAAATCCGCTAATGAGTGAATGACGACCTTGCACATTTTTGCCACACCTACATATAAGTACAGGTCACACCAAAACACGATGAACAGATACAGTTAACACTACACTAACAGATACAAAAAAAACAGTATTGTATGAAATCAACTTCTCTCATTTCAGTAATATGAAAGATATACCTACCAATTTCCTGACTCTATCCACCGTTTGGTCGATGATTTCTTTCCCGACGGTGTAGTGCCCCCGGGCGTAGTTATTGGCGGCGTCTTCCTTCCCAGACATGAGCTGTTCGGGGTGAAACAGTTGTCTGTACGCTCCTGAACGGATCTCGTCGATCACAGTCGGCTCCAAGTCGACGAACACAGCCCTGGGCACGTGTTTTCCCCCTCCCGTCTCGCTGAAGAACGTGTTGAAGGAGTCGTTCTCTACGCCCAGGGTCGTGTCACTCGGCATCATGCCGTCCGGCTGGATCCCGTGTTCCAGGCAGTACAGCTCCCAACACGCGTTACCGATCTGCACGCCAGCCTGGCCGATATGTAAGGACACACACTCTCGCATGGCTGTTTAGAAGTCAGCGGAGACTAGGAATAAAAACTTGATGAAAATCTGTGCGACGTGACGGGACGACAACCCGAGTCTGGGAACAGCCAAAGTCTGGGAACAGCCAAAGTAATGCTTGAAGTAATTATCTCACCGCCCAATCACGTCATCCGTCTAGCTCTGAGTCATGACTGACCTTCAACAGCATTTCTGTGACGTGAGTTGTGGTTACAACTAGAGGTGGTTGTTCGGTCTTACAAACACATCCTCAGACCTGTTGTTCCAAACATACAGCAAATACACAAACTATGACTGAATATGTGTAGCTACAAACACGTACACGTAGACTTGTGCGCATGAAAGTCATGTAAAAACTAGAGTTCAGAATTTGCACTGAAGCGGCAAACCCAGACACTCGCCTCACTAGTCCCAATTACGGTCAAATGGCAGAGTTTACCAACGGTCACAACCACGATCCACCGACATTTATGATTCTGTAATCATTTATACGTTGAAACGGAAACACACTTTTTACTTAATTGTACCCTTCATATATATCAAGATGAACGCCAAGCGCTATTTATGTCTTACAATTAGACAAGATAAGAATATGTCAAAGCAAGAAACCGTCACATACTTGATGTCATATAGGAATTAACGTATGTTGCTGTTGTTGTTGTTTAGTCATCCTCATTCGAGGTGAAGCATATTGGACAAAATATTATAGTAGTTACGTTTCCATGGGTTTTATAAAGAGAGAAGAAAGGTAAGTAACAGACATAATAAATAGAATGGAATCACATTAATGTTATACTTAACGTTAGAATGTTGGGTTTCAGTGTTTAATACTATATCTTATATCCTCTAGACCACATATGTGCATTTAGCCCATATGGACAAGGATATGCAATAAAGATTTATTTATATAATGCAGATTAGGTCATCATTATCACGATTATGTTTCTGACGAATTTTGACTACAAACAACCGTAGACGGAAAACAAATATGGCGCCTGTATGACGTCAAATTCCAACATGGTAGCACCAATGGACGCCAGCAAGAACAAAACAGTTTTGGCCTTCAGTCAACACAAATTTTTCACAGTCTCTATACTTTTGGTAACTTATCCCAGCCGTACCGGCGTTAATTGAGCGATAAACAGACCAGAGTGTGGTGGACGTCTTCCCTCAGGCACTGGTCCAACAGGATTTTTGTCGGGTTTAGCATGGAGGTAACCTCCATGGGTTTAGTGACCGATTTATGTGTGACGTCACGATGTGACGAGATCCTGTCGGTCGCCTTGGGTACTGCAGATCTACAAGATGCAAACTAGTAACTGTTACACAGCTACTGCAGCTACATATTATGTAGTTATTACGCTGAAAAGGGGGGTCACTTCGTAGGGTCGTGACATGTTACTCATTGATTCAAATCACGTCCTGATGTGCATTATCAGCATATCATTATTAATAACAATATCAATCTAAGCTAATTTCAGCCTTTATCCTCTTCTAAACCTTTCCACAAAAATACCCATGAAGTAGACAAAGTCGTGGTGTTTGGCTGTCATTATTCTTACTTTATTTGTCAGCATATTTTTATTTCTAAATAGCGTAAAGAAATGCAGAACAACAGTAACACATCAATTACTGAAAAAGTTATTAAAAATAGCAATTATATTAGCACAACATTGCATTATACATTAAGAATATTTGAGCTTTCTAACAAAAGTTCTTATTGATATATTGTAAGTATAAGTGGATTCCATAAAGTTTTTTACTGCATCGAATATGATCTTGTCAAACTTGATACAAATTTAAAAATGCTCTGATATCATAGTAATAGTTTCTTAGAATAGACTTATTGTATCGTTCACATTGTCATTGTTCCCACACATTGTATCATATACACCTGTCGAGTAATAAAGTTTATTAATTTAAAGTCTTTTTTTACTCTATCCTTAAAAAAGATTACGTTCAATGTTGTTGACTGTAAATTAGGCTTATCATTGACATTTTTTGCTTTCTTCTTATTGAGGTGTAAATTATTTCTCTGATGAAGACAAGACAGTCCTGTTCTCAGCATCTGGCATGTTTCATTTTTTTCCATTTCATAGATTTTCTCTTCAGCCAGTCGCCTCAATGAACAAACGTGCCTTGAAATGACACCATGCTACCCTATAACAGCAACGTTAAGGCTGTTAACGTCAACGTTATATGCACATCAAATCAAAGTGACAAAAGCAATGCATTCTCCAAAGAAGGTAGAAATGCACACGAAAGAAAAAGTGAACTACACTTTGGGATCATTTGGGGAAGCTGACTGGGGTGATCTTGCCGACCTGGACCGCCAGACCAAAAAGATCAAAACCAAGATGACGACGAAAACCACAGCAAGCACTGAACCAACGATGGCCCCGGTCGGCGTACCGTTGGTATGTATATAGACCGGCTCGGGGATGAACTCGAGATTTGCCGTCACGATGTTGGACGGCTGCGCGCAGTTGTCGGCTTCGTCGCACATGCACAGGGCGAAGACGAACGTGACGTTGTGGCCTCGGTCTGGCACCAGGATGACGATGGTCATGGCGGAGCCGGGCTCCGGAAGTGACGTCAGGTTTCCCTGCAGCACTTGCGACTGGTTGACTGAAGCTGAGCCATAGAAATCGTCTGCGAGTTGGTCAAAATCGCGGCTGTAACGGATGTCAACATAGTCGGCTGGAAAAGAGAATGATATACATGTATTAAACGTTATACATGTTGTGGGCAAAAGCATCAGATTGATGCCTGGTTCCATAAGATCATTATGATAACATCCCTTCCCTCAAACGATTACTTTCCTTTTCTTTTTGGTAAGCAGTAAAGAGTGGGTACAGGAAAAAATACAATTTTTTTATTTATTTATTTATTTATTTATTTCATCATAAGACAGCTTACATTAGCTGTTTTCCAAGGGGGCCCAGCAAAATTACACAAGACATTGTTACATACAGTAAGACAAGAGTGGACAACATACAGTAAACATAAAAGTCCGATGAGTCAAAACAGAGTCATAGTCCTTTACTCACAGTCCTAGCCGTTCATGATAGATGAATTATAGGCATCTTATTCTTAGATAAAGCAGAACGCACCTGGGCCTCCCTGGTCGAAGTCGTCCCCTAGTGCAGTACAGTTCAGCTTCACGGTAGCGTTGGCGAAGGAAACCTCCACGGCCGTCAGGTCATCCACTCGGGACGGCGGCAGGATGTCCTGCCCAGAGATACCACCGCTGGGGACCCCCTGTACCTGACAAACGCCTCCTGTTGTCATCCTCTGGAATTGCTCCAACGGTTCTTGCTGAACGTTGTCCCCCCAGGTACTGTTTCCTACAAACAAAGAACCAAGCAATAGTAAAGAAAAATAGTCTGATATGGTTCTGTATCCCTTAGGTAACTAAGCCATATCATCTTGAGTTTCTCATTTCTATCAGGTATATCATCCATGAATGATATCAACCACATTGACGGAACAAGTAGAATATATATTGGAGTTATGAAATAAAGACTGAACTTTAAGTTCCAACACTAGATATAGAATTGGGACTTATCCCAAATTTTCGGTTGACTCCATCAACCTTGTTCACTGAATGGACCCGTCTACCCAACCTGAACAGAGACGAGGGGCGACACAAGTTATCTGGCACGTATGACCCGCTACTACGGTCGCTTGTCTCTGACGTCACGTTCCAAGAGTAGACGGGTTCATTCCGTGAACAAGGTTGATGGAGTTTGAACTTAAAGTTCAGTCTTTATTTTTATAATGATTTGTATGTACCAACACAGATGGACTTTCATGATATATTGGAGTTGTATGTTTTGTAAACTGTTGCAATGATACCAAATCAGTCAGCCATGGTCGTTGTGTGATTTCGAAAAGAGCATAATGTTTACCTGGGTCTATCGGAAGCGCACCGTTGCCACGCCCGCGGTTGATGACGATGTACCCGGCACCCCCCTGGGAGTTGTTCGCGTTGACGCTGAATCCGTAACGCCCGTTCGCGGTGAAGCGGAAGAAGTATCGGGAGTAAATGCCGTCACTCTTCGTTACGTCAGCACCTAAGAGAAAAATGGGACCACAAAAGTGTTACGTTTCGTGCCTTGATATAAATGACAATGTGTAATACAAACACGGAGGCCCGTTGACCCATCGATAAGAGTAAGGCAACATAAATATTGTATGACGTCGTTAAACCTTTCTCACATCGCAACTGCATTGTGTTCTACTTTTTGTTAGACTTCTTTCCTACCAAATCACAGCTATAGCTAAAACTGACTCACCAACACTTTACATTGATCAATTACACTTTTTCGGAATCTCATGACATGACTGCTGACCTGTTGGGTGATAGCAAAGCTTCATCGCAAGTCGTTTTTTTTATTCCAACATGTAATCACCAGACGTGGTGACGACACACTCAGGTTTTTTCAGCTTATATTAATGCCGCCACCAACACAGGGGACAAATACATGACATGACAATACACATTTACACCTGAGCTAAGTGGTGGAGCTAAGTGAGGAAAGTCGTGTTAAGTGCCTTTCCCAAGAGCACAACAGCGGTGGCATGTCAGGACTCGAACCCGGGACTCTCAGTTCCGAGTCGCTCACTCTGCCGCTACGCCACACGACCCCACGAGTCAATTAATATCATAAACTAAAGTATCGATATCAATGAATTCCAAGTCAATCAGAACACAATTGTATAATTCTTTTTAAAGGTATTTACCTGCGCCGTTGTCCAGAAGCGTGATCTCCTCTACCTGACCGTCAGGCTTCTCGATGAAGGCCGTTACGGTCGCCCCAACGACAGGTAGGTAGCCCTTCCGTACGGAGGCGTAGACCCTGAGCGCCGTGGGCTGGGAGGAGGAGTAGTCCAGGGACACGGCACTGACCTGTGCGGTCACTTTGATGGGTTCGGTGTCGTTGACGGCGTTGGACGTCACAATAATGGTGACGTCCTGGTCATTGGGAGCAGTGTTGGTGATGTTGAAGGCCCACTTTCCTGGCTGGAAGTTTTAAAATACTAGTAAATGCAATGCCCAAAACGAGCTACCATGACCCATATGGTATATGCATGCTCTCACATTTGTAGTTTTGGTACGTACCATGTACGTGTAAAAGTGTATAGATTTGTTACGACTTTTTTTTTGTTACAACTTTATCTTTTGGATATATTTTTTCTGATCCTCGTGCCCTCAGTGGAAAGCGGCAAGCAGAGGTCGATTTGAGCTTCTAATTAATTAATAAAGAATGGTTTAAACAAAAAAATAAGGGGGAAGCATAGATGTCTTTGAAAAACATAGATAAATCCAACAAGGGTGAACTGAACATTTTGTTGCAAATCGGTAGCAAATAAGAAACAAAAACATTGTCAAAAATTGCAAATAAAGTTGCATTATGTTGAAAATAAGCTTTAACGATCACATAGGAAATTACATTTTTTGAAGAAGAGCTAGATCCGAAATAATCACCAACTCATAACAGTTACTGTGTTTCTGAGATGTATCCATACCGCTGCTGTGCCCGGGATCTCAATGGTAATGGTGTCCGATGTGACGTCATAGATCGGGTCTCCCTCGGTGATGACAGGGCCAACTGGAGGCTCCAGCGTCACCCCGGGACGGCGTCCGTCCAGCCAGGAGACAGAAAACGTGGTGTCCTCCCCTACACTGGTGTCCACATACACATGGCTGGAGTAGGTCTCCCGGCCGCCGATGGTCCTGTCTTCGCTCAAGATCTGTGGGATTATGATAAGTAATATTTCAATCGACGTGAATGTAATAGTTATTGGGTGTTAACAGTATATCATCATATAGCAAGAAGCCGTCAAACAATTAGAAGGCTCCATTTGCCTTTGGTTATCAGACCGTAACCGTAACGTCAATTAGAATAACCGACCACTTTCTGGATCGTACCATTATATATGGGATAGGGCACTGACAGTAGTGTTAAGACTTGTAGCATTTATCTATTAAGAAACGTATTGTAGTTTATTTTGAATCATTTATTTCAAAATACAACAAGATATAAATGAAATTTAAACAGAAAAAGACTAAAAAAGTGGCACTGATCCAAAATCATGTGGAAATCGCAGATGACTGCCTAGATGATTTGTTTTACTGTCAATGATATCTTGTTTTTAAGTAACATAGAATTTTTTGGCAATGGAGGGATTTTAAAAAGGAATTTGTGTCAAATAACTGTGTCAGTTGGATAGACTATATATCTATAATAACGTTAATTCCCCGCCTTATCCTCGGTCCCGGTCAGGTGTGATAACAACCTCATACAGTGCCCCGTTCGCTACGCTCACTTGATGGTTTATTCGGTGGTTATCGCACCTGACCAGGGATTATATCTCACCATATACACCTCGGGGCGGAGCATTAACCCTTTCATCTACCAAAAACCTTGAGACGTTCCATTAGCACATCAACTGACGTCTTTGAAGTGTGTGTGCAAGTCTTTCTTCTCTAACCTTCACTCCTTTGGTTCCAGCTTTTTCTTCGAACGTGGTGGTGAACGCGTTGTCCAAGGCCGTGGACTCGTCAGTCCCGGAGACGAACGACGAGCCTCCAGTCTGTTGCGCCAGGTTCTCCAGCTTGTCATCCGCGCTTGGACCAATGGCAATGGTAGAGACAATTACTCTCTTTGTAATAAGCTCTGGTATCACGACGCTGATTCGTGGGTTTTGGTTTTCCCCTCCGTCAGTGACAAGGAGAAGGACGCCCCCTTGCGGCGGTCCAACAGCCTCGAGTGCCTTAGAAATGTACGAACGGGAAACAGTAAGTGAATATGTGCATTGACAGAGACTACGTCACCTCAACATCTACCAATCAACGATATCTGGGCATTTTTGGCGACGCCTAATGGGCGAGCCTAATGGTACAGTATTGTGTGCAGTTTTGAAGAATTCTAGGAATTGTGTACACAGGAATTTTGTCCACAGGGATGGAATGTCCACAAGAATTGTCTCACAGGTCTGGAATCTTGCTGGCACACATCTATGCCCACAGTCCTACTCAGTGAAATTCCGGGAATCCCTTGGGACATTTCTGACCTACTTTCACAGAAAGTGGGGCAGGTTTTCCCAGAGACTTGCTACCTCAAATTCTATTTTTGAAAAACTCATGACAGACCAAAATGAGGCTTCCCCAAAATCATGGTAGTGCCGTATACAAACAATAACCCTACCAGGCAGCAACCACCGTACGCGTCGCCATGGCGATGTATGTTTTCATTACCAATCTTGTGTGACGTTTCCTGTCATTGAAATCGAAGTACTAGTCTACCGTATTTAACTTTCCATGGCCAATGGTCACATTATTCTATCATCTACCAACGTGAAATCTCCATACTGTTAACCTTTTAGCTTAGTTCTATAGTATTGGCACTTTGTGGAATCAACGGTGTTCCTAATGCTAATTTGTCTCTGGCCGCATATGGATATAGGACCTCATTTTAATTCAACATGCTACATGTACCTGGACGCCTGTTCGAAGACCACAGCCAATGCACGTGCTACCCCTAGTGCTGGTGGGAAGTGCGGCAATTAAGCTATTGATCACAGCCTGGGAGGTGACACTGAAAAAGACAGTATTTTATTTTAATTCCAAGACTATTATTCTTTTTGTATTCTGCTGTCTCTCGAATAACTTTGAAACTATATATATGCACTTGCATTATTGGATCACATTTGAGTACACATTTTATGCCATACCTGGTGTTTCGGCCCGTGTGATAAATATAGAATACAACACGGGGTATTCCGTATCGCCCGAGGTACCAGCCCGACAGCGCGTCGGATCGCCCGACGGCCGAAGGCGGGAGGGCCGGGACCGAGGGTGATGCGTGTTGTATTTCATTTATGTCATTCCCACCCACGAAAACACGCCTTTTAATGCGAAATGAGCAAAATCCCTAAAAAACGCAACAACATCAATTCCAACGTCCGAATTTTGCATTCGAATTTTCTAAAGCGTTGCACGCGGTTAGGGCGAAACGCGTTCGAATCGTTCTATGGAACATTTGGAAGGGCCGGGCCGTACGCGTTAAGAACCCCCGGGCCGTACCGCTAGTTATCACACGGGCCGGAACACCCGTATCGAACGTAATCGCGGCCCAGGTAGGACATAACTAGCGGTACGGCCCGGCCCGGGTTTCCAAATGTTCCATAGTGCGTTTCGCGCGCACCGAGTGCGCCGCTTTCGAACGTGACGTCGAACACCGAATTCGGATGTTTAGGGAATTGACGCCGTTTGTTGTTTAGATACACCAAATTTTGGCACATTTCTCGGGTGGGTATGACATAAATAATACCCACGGGAGAGTCCTACCCCTCGGTCCAAGCCCTCCCGCGGATCGGATCTCCCTTCAGCGCGGCCGTCCGACGATCCGACCCGCGGTCGGGCTGGTACCTCGGGCGATTCGGAATACACCGTGTAGTATTCTATATATATATGAACCAGCAAGATCTGTCTTTCGAAGAAACCAGACCGTACCTCACTACCCGATGTTTTATTGAAGCACTTGAAGAAAAGGTGACCACGCCCACCGAGGTGCCGAAGGACACAACACTGCGGATGAACCTACTCGCCACTTGAACCAGACGTCGGAGCGGTTCCCCCTGATAAACGATAAACGCAGGTTTTTCTTTTTTTTCTTCTTTTATATAATATAATATGTATGTATATACTGTGTGTGTGTGTGTGGTGAAGACATATTGTGCTCTCTGGTGTTTCGTCTTTTTCTAGGCGTTTTTTTTTCTTAATTTTTTTTTTATTCGGGCTTTTAAGAGTTCATAATTTGGGACTTTCTGACTGTTTTTTGACTGACACATTTAAAAAAATGTTTTCCCTTGTGTTTCTCCTTGCTCCAAAGCAAATATCGACCTTTGTAGTTTTGAAAATTAAATTTCAAAAAGAGATTTAACTTTGTATTATGTTGCCAAGAGAAACAAATTTGTCCTTGGATACTCACATTCATGCTCGAAGACACATCCAGCACCAGGACTATACTGACGAAGTCGCTCTCCTGCAGCAGGATGAAGTCGGGTTTGGTAGATTGGACTGCCCTGGGAGGGTTGGCGCCGTTCGCGAAGTCCTGATGCTTGTTCATGACGTCCCAGGTGCTCTGACCTTGACACATGACGTTCTGTTTGTTGGGCGCCTCCCGGTTGTGGTATGACAGAGGGTCACCTTCCGGGTCACTGTGACAGAAACCGGTCACCTGCAACATAATACATATTTCAATTCTCTTATTGTTGTTGGACAAGTCTATTTATAATTATAGCTATGAGCCCTGTCGAGACCATTTGTGGTGGTATAGCATCTGGAAAGGTACATGTACAAACTTAAGGAATAATGTTTGACAAATTACTGAATTTTGTACATTTTTTTTTTGGGGGGGGGATTCGTTTTGAAAAAAAAAAGAAGAAAAAGGTTTCTACAAAACGTTGAGAAACTCACTTTGTCAAGGAAATGCATGAACATGTAAGACGCAGTCGCTTGGTTCGATTGCGGACGCGGATAGAAACGGCACTCCGGCTCATAGACTCCGGTTGTGGGGTCAAGCTGACAGCGTGCTCCGGTCACCATGTTTCGGTGGGTCCCGTCGACTTTGGCGGAACAGCGGGTCGGTTGGACGCCACCTACCGATGGGCGGTAGAAGTGCGGGTAGGACTCTCCCGAGGGATCTTCGTAGCCGTACTCGTCGAAAAGACCCCAGCGGAGATGGCCCCACTCGTGAACAAAAGTTTTGCCTGGGGAATACATTGATGTTTTATTTAGTCCCCCATTTTCTGTACCGATTTGTTTTTTAATAGGAAAATAAAGGGAGCTGAAGACACAACACGTTTCCTACAATCGCAGCAGATGGCATTTTGTTAAGTAGCATTTCAAATATTTTTTTAAGGACATCTTGATTTGATTATATGATGACATATTTTGGGAACCCCAAAACTGATGCGAGTGGGTGAATAAAAAAATGTTTGGCAAGAAAAAAATTTGCCTTCATTATGAAATCTAGTTGGTCATGAAGGTTGAACAGAAGACTAAACACACAGAGTAATATTTTATTGGCATGGTGAATAATAGACTCTTCATTTTCATTCCTTCACATCGTCTTTTTTTCCCTTTGGAATGGATTTTGGCATTCTGTGATATGAGTATCGTTTTCCAATATTTTTTTTTTAATTTAAGGCATATAATTGCTCATTTTGCAGCTATTTTGTACGATTTACAATATGGTCGAAAACTTTCTTTTGGAAACGGACGAAAATTCATGCGCGCGCAATCAACATGACCTAATATACATTGCAGGCTTGCTAAAATCCCCATTTTACTACACTTAACAGATTTGTGACGTTAACAGTGAAATGTAACAGTGGTTACAGTTAAATGTGTTAGTCTTTAGCGTACAATCTCCAGCAAGTATAAGCAGCGTGTTTATTTTCGTACCATTAGGGCCCCAGGTCGTTACTCCATATTCCTTTTCCACCACGTATTTAGGGGTGAGGTGCATGTAGTCTCCTTCCTCTCCACATCCTCCCTTCTGCTGCACATATGGATTGTCCCCGTATTGAGGGTTCGGCAAGTCCACTCTGGAAGAACACAGATATAGTTACGAATAGAAAAATGTAAATATTTTTCAATAGGAGTGGGTAGCGTTGCTTCAAACATACTGTAGCCCAGATGTTCATTTCTGTACATATAAAAAAATACGGCCTACTTTCAAGAACTAAACAACAAAACAAGACCCCAACAAGCACTCTACAAGCATTCATTTAGTAGGTAATACGTAGAGGTATATATACTTAAAATTGCTTTAAAAACATCTTACATTAGTATTTGTAGAGCTCCAAACATAGAACAAATGTTCATTTCTGTTCACTTTCTTAAATTTGGCGTACGGGACAAGCTCACAGCCACGTAACAAAACCCCAACCTCTACAAACATTCATTCGATAGGCAATGTACAGGATAATCTGTAACACAAATATTACTTAGATTACAGATATTGTATCTTTGATATGACTAAAAAAAGGTATCGTAGAAAAGCAAAGCAGCTCAGGTTTTGTTTTGCTAAAATATCCAGGAGTTTGCTTGTAATCCTGTCCTCAACTTTGGAAATTTTCATGTTTGTCTTGTTTGTTTTTCATGTTTGTCAGCGGAAATGAAAAAAAAAAACTCGTTTGGCCCGTTACCATGGCAACGATCGGTGTTGACTGGAAAGAAAGCTTTTTTGAGATAGTGTAGGTCAAGTACTATTACTGTGCAAAATATGAGCCCAATCTATTTTTTCTTACCACTGCCACCATTGTTTGATATTTACAGACATTTGCTCTTAAAGAACACCCCGGCGACATATGCCCTAAGTTTTATATTTTTTTTCATAATTCATGTACGATGATATATTCTAAACCAATGGGAAAATGAGTATAAATTTTTCATTAGATGTGCAAAAGTCATTCAAACATCCTTTCTTGGGGCATCCTCTTTTGCAATTGCAATTTGTTTTGTTGACAACTATACTGCAAATATACTCCTGAGTTATAAGTAACCTGTTTTCTATGGGCCTTCATGCATCCTTAAAAATATTTTCCATGGCGATCGTAGTACTGCAAAATGTGCACACCCCTGGTGCGTTGTCAAAAAACACCAGTCGTGGAGCGGAGTTTGTTTTTAAGTCAAAGTACAATGTACATGTACCTAGACAGACATTAGGTAATCTGAGGCCAAAGAAGTTAACCAAATATAACCCTCATGCTCAATCAAACTAGGTTAACCCAAATGTATACTTGTCTGTAACTGTCGGTTCAGTTTGAGGTCAACATATCAAGCTAAGGATGGAATGTGGTCCTACAAAATACCATGAAGTTTACAAACCGAGTTAAGTCGTTATCATGTTATGACATCCACCGAGGCAAAGTCTGCCGGTGTCACAGCGATCGATCTCGCCCTCCCGTGATTTCGCCCTCCCCGCTAGTGATTTGGTCCCCCCCACCCCCACCTCTCCCACCCCCCCCCTTAGCGATTTCGCCCCGCACCAAAAAATCAGTTATTTCCTCGAAAACTTCCACTTAAACATGTCCAAGTACACAAATTTGTTGAATAATTCTAATCATAGCATTTCCTTGTATTTGAGGAATTATGTTGCATGTAAACACTCTCAAAACTATTTTACCAATGATCAGCTCATATCCTGTGTTGTTGAGATGCCTAGTATGCAGTTGAGCATAGCAAAAGGGGATATTTCAACCAAGGAGGTTACTTTCTTGCTTCAACCGAACCTGTAATAATATCGTAAGAATTGTTAATCAAATTTGTGTACCTGCCATACCTGTGGTACGGTGTAAAAGAGTAGACTAACTAAGGGGTGGGAGGGGGGCGAGGTCTACGGAGGCGGGGCGAAATCGCTAGCGATCTCCCCCCGCCGGGAGAGCGAAATTGCTGGGGGTCGAGATCGCTGTGACACCGGTCAAGATCTATCCGGCAGCAGGTAAGATCTGCTTGGAGATTTTACCCATTTCCTCAAAATGCAAATCTTCAGTCCAAATGAAGAGTCGGTCCTTAAGATGGGCGTGGATTTCTTAATGAAAGCAACTTTAAGCTGGTGTGTTACGTCGAAGGGCAGTTATACCGGCTATACAGATACAGATACTTTTTTTTTTGCCAAATTTTTAATTCGCAAGGTCGCATCATATTTGGGGTTCCCAGAGGATGTCATCGATATAATCAAATCAACACGGCCTTAGGTATACTAAATGGCCATCATTTATACCAAAAAAGATCGGAAATAGATTTCAAATATTTTCTTCTTTAAAAATACAAAATGCGAGTAAAAGTGGATTTCACCTGATGTTAGCCCGGTCGAAGGTCTCGGTCCCGGCGGGTTGGTACTCGGGTTTTCTCGTCCATGTGTTCGGGATGAGAATCTTAATCTCCCTGAAGAACGTGCGGTTGTTGGTGGCGACGTACAAGTCTTGGGACGCCTCGGTCAAAATCTCCTAGCGAAGATAAAAGAGTGGTTTTGATTTCAGTCTGCACAGCTACTATCATTCGTTTGTTGTACGTATGTGTGTCCCAAACCGTGCCTTGGCATGGTTTGGGACACACGGCGCGTGTCAAACAGTGCCTGGAGCAAATCCACATTCTGGGACACGCGGGGACTGTCCCGAACCGTGCCTGATCGGGCACAGTTCTGGACACATAAGGGCCTTGTCCCATTCCGTGCTCTGGGGGCGGAGCTTAGTGTTTTGTTGTTTAACTGTTTTAACGGCCGCCATCTTTGTTTTCGTCGGGACAAAAGTAAGAAGGATTCGGCGTAATTCGCCTGGTCCCGCCAATCACTTCCGGGCACGGTTCTGGACAGTCAGGCTGTGTCCCGTTCTGTGTCCGCTCAGGCACGGTTTGGGACACAACAGCGTTTGTTCATTCATCGCGTGCGGGCCAAACTGAATCCCAGTTTCAGAAATGAAAATGGAGTTACTGGCAACTCAGCAAAGCGTTTCATGAACTACTGGTATAATGAAATTTCGCAACAACGATCACCGCGTATGCTGTAATACATCTGCCAACAAATACCATGTCCAGAGGGAGCATGATACATGTATATCAAAACCGGAAGGTCTGATGCAGTACCATTGAAACCCGCTAGGGACCCAAAATCGCACTTACACTTTCTTTCGTTGACACATGGCTACCCACAGTCCAAATTACTCTCCAAACAGAGGTTTGGGTTTTGGGTTATTTTTGGCGTGTTTTCAGACTTTCTAGAGTTGGGTTGAAAAAATTCCAGTGTAAAAAAAATGAAAAAAGCCTAAAAACACGCCAAAAATAACCCAAAACTCTACAGGAGTACTAGTAATTCCTAATATCATACAGATCCAGTCATGCCTTCTGGAGTAGCCGAGGTATCAAAAAACTAATTCTCTAAGACATCCATTTGCGCAAGTTTTTTTTGAAAGTTAACTTAATCGAAATACTATACAATTAATTGGCTCCGCCCATGAATCGTCGCAAAGTATTACATCAGCCCATTTTGTACATTGTACTATTTATTAAGATCGTAGATAATTGAGCTGGTGGTCAAACAAAGTCTACGTGTAAAACGGTGTAAATCAATACCAGACTTTGAATAACTTTTGTTGTAAATGTTCAAAACAGCAATAGTATTATGAAAACACGTATTCTATCTTTTTTCAAAGCATCTCAAATAAAAAAAAGATTGTATGTAACGTATTGGTTGTGTCTGCTTCCAATAATTATGGACACATTTATATCTTTCACTCATTCTGGGCGCTCAGGCCAGCTTTGTCGAAAGTACTTGTTTTCTCTCTTTTTCGTAACAAAGAGTGTCCGAATTTTGTTATCCCAGTGGCAGTGCGGATTGTGGTAACCACTGCAACATTGTACTTTTTCATAATCTGTTTTATGTCGTATATTAACTCATGGTTAGCACCACAATTCTTTTTTTTGGGGGGGGGGGGATACAACAGCTATAGTCCAATACGGTCAGTTGGTTCCCTTAAAGGACGAGGGTCTCGTCCATTAGTAAGTTATCCTAGGATTCTGAAACCACAAAGTAAATCTGTAAGAAAATGTGCCGCACAAACTGTGCACGTTGGGTCGTGTGGCGCAACGGAAGAGTTCTCGACTGGGAACCAAACGGTCCCGGGTTCGAGTCTTGACATGCCACCGTTCGTGTGCCCCTGGGAAAGGCACTTTACACGACTTTCCTCACTTCACTCAGGTGAAAATGAGTACCCCCTGTGTTGGTGGCGGCATTAATGTAAGTTGAAAAAAAAACTTGAGTGTGCCGTCACCACGTCTTGTGATTATTTGTTGGAATATAAGAAGAAAAAAAACTGTACACAAACTAACCTCTATCCTGTCCACAATCTGCTGGTCTTCAGGGATGTTTTCGCTAATGGCGACCAGCACGTCCGTGTACTCGTTGTTCTGTAGTTTAATCTCGTTCGGCCGGGTGAAGACGGCTTCAGAATGCCAGCCAAATGCGGACAGCAACACTATCCAACATAAGGCGGACATCTTCGCCGGCCGGCCCCGGCCAGGGAAGCGCACTGTACTAAACTAAAGCAGGTCTCAACAAGAAAGGCGGAGCATTTGCACGCTGGACTCGGGAGCAAATACAGCATATTTCAGTCTATCTCCCTCCTCGTTCCAGAATGTTCCATATCAGCCTTTACAATTGAGCGCTATTCAATATCAAGTCAAGTGTTTTAATACCCACACATAGTCCCCAATACCCATAACAGCTTTTCAGTAACAGTGTTCTCGAAATACCCATAAGGTTCTTTCAAGAATAACCCTGTCATTAGTGTAAACTTTTGCGATTTTAACAAGATTGACGCCAAACTGTACTTAAATATTACTTTCTCACCCTGTATATGTTTGGGCATTGCAAATTTTAGGTCATTTGGCCCCAAAACTTGGATCCATTTAAGGAAATGGCAGGGTAAGAAGGGAACATGTTGCGAGTGTGGAAGGTGCATGTATTTCATCCACCACAGCAGTCAAAAAGCCTCAATTATTTTCAAAAGGATGCATTATCAAAGGTGATAATGCATTTTAAGGCACGTCCACACCAAAAAAGGTCATCTGGGCGCAATACTAGGTCTCCAGGACCACAAATGTTTTGTATGAAAATGGCCATCGTGAAAAACAACAAATAAAATAATTCTAAAAGGCTGTATGGACAAAAAAAAATTAAAACTAGAAAGGCCAATATTTGCTTTGGAGCAAATACAGCGATGGGTTCACCACATTTTACCACATGGCAGGGAAAGAATGAGAAACACAAAGGAAAACAATGATTTACATTGATATAACTATAATATGAAGTAACATACAACTAAAACAACAGTTGGATAGCTATTCCCTACTTTATTGGTTAGGATTTTTAATTGCATAATGCAAACTGTTGATTTTCAAAATAAAATAAAAAACGTTCATGCCCCGCATTCCAATGCTGGAGCAGAAAAGCTTGAAATACCTACCAAAACACTTGAATAAAGACATACTGTCAGTATGGAAATGCTCTGTGCAGGTGTTAATCAAGTTAAATCCCAACAGCCAATCAGCAAGAAATGCTCTGTGCAGGTGGAAATGCTCTGTGCGGGTGTTAATCAAGTTAAATCCCAACAGCCAATCAGCAAGAAGTATAGAGGAAAGCTGCATGCCTATTGGTTGATGCCCTGCATTCCATTGTGATGACTCATGCCCAGACGTGGTCAAAACACGGCACACTAACACAGTAATACATTTGCTATAACACAGCCAAAAAACTCAAATAAAACCATTCTAAAAGCCTGTATCACAAATATTTAAAAAACGCCTAGGGGTATTTGCCCACCGTACCTCCATACCAAATTTCAGGACCTTAGGCCCTAAAATGAAGAAGCTGAATCCATTTAAAGATATGGCAGGAGGAGGAGAAACATCAGAAAAAGCAATATGGGTTCACCACCACTTCGTGGTGGTGAACCCATAAAAAAACATGCCTGTTTGCCCACTCTACCTCCATACAGAATTTAAGGGCATATGGCCCAAAATGAAGAAATCAAATCCATTCAACGAAACATAACGACACGACAGAAGAAGGACAAGAAATGTGAGTAAAATCAAAATGTTTCATGCATACCTATGGTATGGACTAAAATAAAAAAAAAGCAGAAGTGAAACTACGTCACACCGGTAAATAGAAACTACGTCACACATACCGGAGATGAAGATTAACTATGTCACACACACACCTTTGGTCCTTGATAAATACACGTACATCGATTATTTAACTTGTTTACAACCATTCAATACGAATTCGATTGTGCTGTCGGAAACATCTAAGCTAGCTAGTGTAGCACACATGGCGAACAATAACATATCAATCATATCAAAGTTCATATTTACTGCAATGTTTCTAACCGTGACCCTCATGTCGCTGCTCGGTCGGAGCGAGGTTTGACCTACCCTGGAAGCCAAACTCGTTTTTCCGGGCCGCAAGATCCCTTCGCCCGCTGGTGTAAATTACCGCTACGGGGACCCCCGGAGCGGTAGCCCGGGGGGGGGGGTTTAAAAAAATTAATTTCGTAGTTGCAGGGCCTAAAACTCCCCACGGGCTCAATTCCACCGTAGCGGTAATTTAGGTCTGCGGGAGAAGGGCTTCTGGCTGCCGAAGGAAACGGTTAGCGGCCAGTAAACTTGGCTGGCACCCAGGGTAGTTTTGACCCGAACCAGCCGTACTACGAAAACTAAGTTATTTTTTAACCAAGTAGACAAAATCGGACTTGTTTATCATCGGCTACTGTATTTGTCTATACACTTGCGTTGCACGATCTCATACCTTCGACTAATGATCTTTAGACAGCAATTCTAGCACTTTCTAATAAATTATGCATAAGACCATAATTTGCATGATTTATGACATCATGACTGATGATTTTGAATTTCATTTAACTGATGAAATGTCACAAGTGTAAAATCATCACCATTCAGCTCTATGGTATTATGACATTTTCTCATAAAGTATGCAAATGAATACCTTTTGCATAATTGATATCCTACCAAGAATCGAGATGTTCAAAAACTCGTATTTTCTAAGTTTTGCTGTATAGTTTGTAAAAGACATGTCTGTACAAAAAAAAATCGACAAAAACATCAAAAGTTGGAAGAAATAAAATATTTTCTCCAAAGTATAAAAAAAAACTAAAACTTATGAATGAGACCAAGAAGGCCGTTTTACCTGAGGCATTTCCTCTTGCGTCACAAATAATGGGGGAAAATGATGACGTTATGCTTTTCCCCACTTGACTCTATTCTCTACAAAAATAGTGTATCGAACTCAGATCTTATTAGATTATTCCAGCCAAAAATGTTACCATGATGGGGGGGGGGGGGGGGGCTGGAAATAGTTACCGCATATACAAGTTATTGCAGGCAAAATAGGAGCTGTAAAAGTATTTCTGATGTCTACCTGCACCTAACCTGCACTGGTCCATGTACTGGGTATATGCAGGTTAGTGCAGGTAAAATTGGAGCTGTGCAGGTATTTCTGATGTCTACCTGCACCTAACCTGCACTGGTCCATGTACTGGGTATATATGCAGGTTAGTGCAGGTATACGTAAAATTGGAGCTGTGCAGGTATTTCTGATGTCTACCTACGCCTAACCTGCACTGGTCCATGTACTGGGTATATGCAGGTTAGTGCAGGTAAAATCGGAGCTGTGTAGGAATTTCTGATGTCTACCTGCACCTAACCTGCACTGGTCCATGTACTGGGTATATGCGGGCTCATCATCATCATCATCATTCATCCTCCGAAGAGGTGGAGCATACAAAGTTAGTTCGCCACAACTATCTGTCATACATCACTGAGAAAAGTTCATGTCCCTCCAAGCCAGTTTCAGTTTCAATAAGTTTCTTAACTGTTATGTTTGGGCGTCCAACTCTTCTCTTACAGGTATCAGGGTTCCAGAGTAGAAGCCTACTGGCTGGTTCTTCACTACGTATTACATGACCGGCCAAGCTTAGACGTCGACATTTGACTACTGAAGTTACATTTGGTAGCGAACCGTATAACTGTTCATTAGTAGTGTGTTTCCACCATGGTGTATTGAAAACCACTCGCAACATCTTCGTGTATGTTCCGTTTAGTTTTCTAGAATGTGACATATTCATGACCCATGATTCTGACCCATACAAAAGAATTGTTTCAATACATGCCTTAAACACTTTGATCTTAGTTTGTTTTCTAATGGGCGCTTTCCAAATCTTATGTAATGAGTGAAGAGCACTCCATGCCTGTGCGATCCGCACATCCATGTCATGAACACTATCAGAGTACCCCCCTAAGTATTTGAAATCCGCAACACATTCGATTTCAGTGCCATCAGTGGCAAAAAGTAAACTGTCAGTAGTAGGGTTTAGATGCATGAACTTTGTCTTGGAAGCATTCAAGTATAAACCTATTTTTTGACATGAAGTTTCAACTTTTGTGAGAAGATTGTCAACTTTTGTGAGAAGATATGCGGGCTAGTGCAGGTAAAATCGGAGCTGTGTAGGAATTTCTGATGTCTACCTGCACCTAACCTGCACTGGTCTATGTACTGGGTATATGCGGGCTAGTGCAGGTACAATTGGAGTTGTGCAGGTATTTTTTATGTCTACCTGCACCTAACCTGCACTGGTTCATGTGCTGAGTATATGCAGGTTAGTGCAGGTAAAATTGGAGCTGTGCAGGCATTTCTGATGTCTACCTGCACCTAACCTGCACCATATGTGTATTGGTTTATAAATGCGCTTAGTTGTTACTGTTTTTAGTTTTTACTGTTTGTTCCCATCTGAAAAGCTAAAGAATTCAATTGGTTTTCCTAACTGTCTCTAATTTGATTTATAGTCCATCCACAGAATCTAGTTTCAGCATAAAATGGTGCAGGTTAATTTGTCTGGTGCAGTTATTTCCAATGACACACCAGAGGAAGTATCAAAAAAGAAGTATTTCGAGCCCTGTGCAAGTGTTTTAGACTTGGCAGACGCTCAGTTTTTGAAAGGTTAAATACCTAACTCGACAACTTTTTTTTCAAATTACCGTGACATCAGTGTTTTATATTTAGAAATGTGACGACATACAGGTGTATAAAAGAGCAATCAAATTACTCTTCCCTTTAGTTCGGACTTCAGGATTTCAAGTTTGTAAACATAAACTGAAATCTTTAGCATGAACAACCACCTTCTCGTGGTGGCACTGCTTCAGCTGAGCCTGTTCGGTGGGTTCTCTGTGCGAGGCCAGACGACCGAGGCCCCGGCGGTGACGGTGCACCTCCCCACGCCGAAGCCAGCTCCCGAGTTCACGGTGCAGTCCTGCTCCGTCACCAGCCAGAGTGTTACCATGAACTGTGGCGGCAACTGCGCTTCAGATGCCAGGCTACAAGAGCTGGAGCGAAAAGTGGAACAGCTTATGGCCACTGTTAGCGACTGCTGTAACGACACTGGTGAATACAATTGCACGAACTTTTACCTCCCGACATTTGTGTCACAAAGATAACATTGGCTGACTGAATTCTTATGTTATCCCCTCAGGGATGTATGTTAC